TCATCTATGCTTATACGAGCTGTAGCCATCTTGGGGGCGTGGAGTGAACTGCTCTACTGGTAAGAAGAGCAGTTATCTTGTGTTATCAATAAAACCAGTTGCAAAGAATGAGCAATGAATCTATGTGTAAGGGCGCATTTCCATAGATTTTAGATCAATCTATCCCCGTGGGGAGTCTCACTAGATCACTGTCAGATAATCCGGCTTAAATGTACGTCCCCCCTACTACAAGCTGTAAGGGGGTAATTAACTTTCGTGCCCGCTCATCTGACATCTATTTAGTGTGAACCCCCAGGGAGTTAGGTCAATCTAGTTGGATCGATCTAATCTCTGGGAATGGGGTCTAATTGTTCCCTTATCAGTGACCCAGTTTGCATACTTATAAGGCCACAACAGTATGTTATTGTATTTCACTATGTTTTATGATTCAAGCATATAATTAGGTTTTATGGGTTTTTTATTACCTAATATATTTTCGATACTTCATATATTTACAGACTTTACGAAAGGTGTCAGACATGCCAGGCAAATTTCGTCTCGGTCCTATAAAAAATCCTGTATCCTCGGTCCTTATGTCTGGCAAGTTTTCAAACTGACTGGGAATTTGTAAATATAGGGAATATGTTGTTGTTTCTTTTCTGGATGATATATTTTACTTCATTCGAAAAGAAAAAAGGGATCAAACTCCCAGGGAGTTCCCAGCTAATAATACATAATTTATTAACCTCAGTTTCACTCACAAATACTATTTTGTGACTGGCTGAGGTTGGGGGAGTGCGCAAGTGTCTCAATTCCATGGCCCCGTATCTCGAAATAGAATCGGTTATGGAATCGAGACACTAACGCTCATGCGCAACATAGCGAACCTTTCGAGATACGGAGCCCAGATTGATTGGAAGTTTTCTGAAATTGGAAAGAAGTAGCCCTGGCAGACTTACAATCTTGAGGAGAGGAAAATGGTGTGTACCAAGCGTCAGGAGTATTATGATCAACAGCAACATAAATCTTACTGCTTTATTACGGGTTCTGAAATTATCGAATATATATATATATATACATGAACTTGATGAAGGCTCACAGTTTGTGTTTCTTTTTATCAAAAATAAATAAGATGAAGAAGGAATTTAGACTCAGGCTGGGCAGTCCCCATCAAAGTTTCAATTGGATGAAAGAGACTGCCTTACTGTGCTGTTTCACAATGCAAATGTTATTGCCAGAAACAATTGATGGATGAAATGGTTATCTGATTGATAGACGTTTTTATAGACATACATTTGATGTTACTGGCTACACATTCTACATACTTGTATTTATGTTAGTCCTTGTGTCGTTCTACATCACCTTTTTTATTGGGTAAAAAAACAACTTGGGCATTTCTGGCAAATGGTCAACCTCAACATAAAATTTTTAAAATTGCTCTAGAATCTAACAAAGGGTGTCATTTAAAAGCAGAACAGTTGAAGTTTTTGGAACTACTGAAGTTTTCAGAATATCTTTTGAATTTAGTTAAGAAAAATTCTGTCAAATGTGGTCCTTTTTATAGCTTATTTTTCATAATCCAGTTAACAAATTTAAATTGTGAAAATTTTCATCTTAAAATACATAAACAAAATTTAGTAGTATACATTAACAATTGGCACATGTCTAGAATTCAACAGAAAAGAAAAAAAATTGATAAAGCTCTTAACGTTTAAAAAAAATTTGATGAGCTTTTGGTGTGGAGGTCAATGTACATCCGATACAGAAAATACACATTTTTTAAAAGTTATTTTACTAAAAAATATTTATTAAAAAAAGCTGATTTTTTTGCAAAGCACACTTTCACTCCTCTCAATAATGGTGCACAAAATAATGTTTTACCATGTTTTAATTTTATGTAAATATTAGAACAGATGTACACATTTTTGTGTAACGGGCGTACATTTTGTGATGAACATCAAGTACAGAAGGTTTTACTCTTCAACAGAAAGCCATTAAATAGAAATTGATTATTCCGTCTGATGCATACTGCATAGTTATGTATCATTGATGAAATGTAAAATTACTAAAAACTGTCAATTAAAATTCATATTATTGAGTTTGGGGTTTAAAACTAGCATAATGATTGTAAAACATCTTTATGTGTTCATCATCATCATCATCATCATCTCTGCTAATTATGGCATCATCATCTATGTTGTGCTGGTCAGAAGATCTTATGAGAATATTCTAGAATTTGGTAGAACATCCTAAAATTTAGTAGATAAAAACATTGTAGAATTCAGTATGATGACAGTTGAATTCAAGATGTTTATAGAATCTTCTATCAAAAGTAATCCACAGAAACTCCTAGGGGCTTTCATATCTAGGGGACACATGCACGCACGCACGCGCACACACACACACATCTGTCATGTAAATTACTGCTTGCTGATTACGGGATACTTTTTGCTGTACTTACTAAAGTTGAGTAAGACCTTACTGAGAAAAAGCATTTGTCAAGTTATCAAATACCATTATAAGCACTTTCATCACCTTAAAGGTAAGATATGCTTAGACTTTTTAAAAATGATGAAGCAATCTTTATTTTGTGATACATTATGTTTATTTTTTTATCTTTTTAAGAATGAAGGAACAATGATCCACTCACGTGCATACTATTAATTAACACCTTTGTTGTATTTTCATTTGCAGTAAACATCCTTAGTTTATTCTATATATCCCATGATAATTCTTTTGAGGTGCTGAGTCCTACAAGCAAATAGCAAATGGCAAAGTTTCGAGCAAAATTTAAGCAAGACCCTGACATGATGATGATGAACATTATGATGAAAATTTAAATTTTGTTCTGATTTCAAGCATTGCTGTAGAAAAGGAACATGCAAATAAGATGTTATGTACAGACACAGCATGATCAGGCCTTTTTTCAAGTTTTGCTTCCCCCCCCCCCCTTTTTTTTTCAGCATATATGCAACACCGTTAACACAATAAGTGGAAAAACGTTCTACCCTTTGGTTAGTTCACATTTCAGCTCTCATCATATCAAAATGAAGGCACAAAATCCGCTTGGCCTATTAAAGTTGGAAAGCTGGAGTGTGTGCCTCTATCTTTTGTGTTTTGAGGTATTTATGTACAGACATAGATGTGTCTGTACATTTAGCTGTCACCTGTGTCTGTCATCACTGTCACCATGCACTTTCACTGATAACACGATAAGTGGAAAACCATTTTGCCTTTTGGCTTGAAACTTATACTACGTAGGTCAAATTCGAAAATCAGCATGATCATGCCATTTTCTTAAAAGTTCTGCTGTTTTTTTTTCTTTTTTGCTTTTTTCAGCATATATGCAATACCGATAACACAATAAGTTATGTCTTGTTTTTGTACATGAGTGGCTTTTTCTCAGACTCAATTCTACGGCATGTTAACACCTCATCATTGAACTAATCAGATACGTCAAAGTGTTCTTTTGACATTTTCTGCATCTTAACAACATTCAGTTGGTAAACCTGTTAACCTGTATTGAGTAATAAAGTGTTAAAAATGGAAATAAAGTCATATCATTGCAGTTTGTCAGATTCAATCATTCACTGTTCAGAATCTCAGAATGGAGCAAATAAGACATACAAAATTGTTCTGTTGATATTTTTAGTATGCCAACAATTTTTGTAGTTGATTATAGGAAAATGACAGTAAATTGATTATTTTGTTTTATGTAAAAAAGGTGTCGAAAATGGAAAACTCATTTCAGTACAATTATCTCTTGTTCACATTTTGCCATTTTCAAGGTTTGATTGTGAACTTCCATGGCCTAGAAGACTTTTGCTAGTCACTGCATTTTAGCATAATGTATAATTGCATCAAAATTGACACTTTCCTATTTTGTGCATTATTATTTTCTGCTTTTTATCTGTACATTTGACAGCTTTGTTGCCTTTTTTTTGGTAAAGCTTACAGTGTGTTGATGGGTTAAATGCATAAAGCTCTTATCAATCACTTATATACTCATTGTATGTACTTTGATTATCTTTAATAAATGATTACCTATATTGTCTAGATAATTATTCAACCCTCTTGGAATCTATGGATTTTTTTTTTTTTTTTTACAAAATATGCCACATTTTTCTCACAAGTATTATATATTTTAACAATTTTTAAAGCACTTACAATTATGTTTTTATACAAGAAATATTTTGACTACACATATGTTAACTTCTTGTACAGAAAGCAACCAATGATACTTGAATCACGTTTTATGTAGAACTATTTTCTGGTTGGTATCTTGTGAGCTGTTGAGGTGAAGGTAAAGAGAGGACAGTTTGGGGGGGGGGGGGGCTCTGGGGGGCGGGTGTGATAAGGTTAATCCAAGAGTATGTATTATATTGTTAATATTTATATCACAGTGGTGTCAGGTGTCAGTCTCTCTTGACTTAACTGAAGAATAGTCACATAGACAATCATAGATAAAACCTGCCCAAATTAAAGTTAATTGTGGTTTACTTAAAATAAAAGATATAAAAAAACAACAATAAATGAATATTTTTTTCTTATTATTATTGTGATAGATCTCTGACAGGAATTTACTCTCCAGACATATAAATTAGCCAAAAATACAGCCAATTAATATATTATTTAAAAAAAGACAGTTATTTGCTATGTTTTAAAGACTAAAATCACCTAATTGACATAAACTAACCTGCATGAAGTATTATATTTATAAAAATTGAAGGTAATAAGATATGTACAATAAGCAGAATATATATGATTTTATAATCAAGTTTTCAGTCACACAGTACACAGAGGTCCCAGTTATACATAAAAGTAACTTTAGAAACTGTTCTATAGATCAGTGCACCCATAAAGCAATGATTATGTTATTGGGTATTTACACATCTATTTGTACCCTGAATACAACCAATTTAGGCCTCACATCTGATTTCAAAAACATTACAACATATTTCAAAACATATAACATATTATATAGTATTATTATTGCAATAGGGGGCAACCAACCCCCCTCTCCATGCCATTATTACATGTTAGGACCAGAAAGATTGGTTCCATTCAGAAAACTATACCACTTGATGCAAAGAGAACCTCTTGTATTCATAACCTGTCCTAAATTAGGTAATCAAAAACTTTAATTTTCCCAGTACTGCCTTCTGACACAATAAGATGTCCCTCCTGGTCTAAAGCAATACCCTTGGGTTTTACCAGACCATCCCCCCCAGTGACCAAATGACATATAAACTCAGCCTTTGGTGACAGCATGTGGATACGGTCATTGTCCCTGTCAGTGACCAGAATGTGACCAAACTGATCAACACACACACCATATGGGTGACATAAACAGTCAATCCCTTTTGAAGCTGATCCTGGCCTACCATACCTGTGTAATACTTCCCCTTCCATGGTCAGTACATAGACACAGTGCTTCCAAACATCTGTCACCACCAGATTACCCTGCTTGGTCAAGGCTATCCCAGAAGGAAGGCTAAAAAGCACATTGCCATCTTTGTCTTTCCTTATCTCTCTCACTACACTACCATCATGTACGTTAAATATTACCACACGTCCTGAAAAAATATAACTTACTGTACACACAAGATGGTCTTTTGAAAACACAACACCTGTACAACTATGTACTGTGATGGTTCTAGTTATCTTAAACTTCCACTGGGAATTTAAGAAGAATATTTTCTGATTGAACCAGTTACATATTGCTATATTTCCACCACTGGTACAGCACACACTTGTAGGACACCTTAACTGATGTCTACCATCACCTGACCACACTGACACCAATCTACCACTTCTGTCAAATAGTTTCAGGTTATTGTTCTCCATATCTGGTACAACTATATTCATGGAATTGTCAACTGCCAGAGCCATTATGTTTGGAGTGTACTTATCTACTTTGGCTTTGGCACTAAACTCTGCTACTAGTTTCAATCCCTCTAAACTGAATGGAATTCCCCCAGATATTTTCCCAATTGTGTTCTTGACCTTTGCATCACTGTGAGGGACATAGGTATGATCTGCCTCTGCTTTGTGTTCAGCCATTACAGTAGAGAGAGACTTCTGGTGCAGCATCATGTCCTTGGGCGTTGCATTTTCCATCAAGTGAATAGACAGTTCTGTTATTATTTTCAATCTGCATCTTGAGTTGATTATATCGCTATGTCTCTTTGCAGCATTAACTTTGGCACGGAGTTGACTTTTCATTTCTTCTTTCTGTCTGTTTATAGCATCAGTAAGCTGCTGGGAATGAGTCTGAATTTCTCTTTCTGCCTTATCCTCTTCTGCTATGAGTCCTTTCTCCTGGCGGTCAAGTTTTGTAATGGTATCATTTTTCTCTGTGATTTTTGCTCTCAGTTTCTGAACTTGTTTACCCAGTTGTCTTTTTTTACTATCCAATTCATCAAACAATATCCTGACACTGACACAGGGGTGGTCTTTGTGACAGCCCTCTGTCACCACACACACTTGACATATTGCCGTGTCACATTTTTTACAGTACATGGTCACCTTCTCTTCATAATGCTGACTACATGGGACATCTATGGTGGAGGGTACATGCTCACTCTGTAGGAACAAAGGCACTGGAAATTCAGACACGCCCTCATAAGGCACGGGGACATTTTTACTGCACACAAAGCACTGGAAGGTTTCTCCACGCTTCTTCCCCTTTATGGCATGAGCAAGACAGGTCTCACACAAAATATGCCAACAGCTCAGAAGTCTTGGTGCAGTCATACGTTTTTTACATTTTGGGCAATTGGGTAGGTCTGCTGTGTCATCCTCTCTTGATGGAGGTACACACGTAGCCATAATACCTGCTGTATCTGCCGATCACCTGACTTGGATGGTTTATTATTGCACCTTTATCTGTCATACTGTACATGGAACTGTGGACCCACCATTGTTTCATGGTTGTACACGGTTCACAAAATATTTTGTTATCACACTTAGTGATACAAGCTAGGTTTGGCAAAGGATGAAATATTATAGTAACTCACTTTTCAAGTCTCAGTTTATATGAGAAATAATATTCAGAAAAACCTCTGTCATTTTGCTTTGAATTTCTTTTCTGAATCACAATTTTTGACTTGATATGTTGTAGAAGCAATATTTTTTGAGACCCTATACCTGTCACCTGAGTAAAACTGCCATCAGGACAAACATCACCCAGACTGATGTGGTTGGTCATTAAATGGGGTAATCTTATCTTTAAGGATCAGAAAATAAAATATTAGACTAATGACAGTATAGCGTCTCAATAGGTACAGACCTTGGCAGTTAAATCAACTGTTCTTGCAAAAATTTATTTATCCCTTACAAGAGCTTAGGAAGATACACTATCATGAATTTCATATAATTATAACACTTTGGTGACAAACTCACTAAAAATTCAACTTATTAAGAAGTTGGGTTTTTGGGAAATCTTTTATTATTCTTATTTTTTCCTTCATCCATTTGCCAACAAACCAATGCTGAGCTGAATATTTTGAACTCGCAATATAATTACTTATAAAGTAAGTATAAGTCTGTTATTGCTTGCATGTGGTAACACAGCAAGATGGAGGTTGGGAGGGATTACCCTTTCTCTTTGTTAGTTGAATTTAGCACAGAATGAAACCATGTGATTTGTACCGTATGATTAAAAAAAAGTTTACCAAAGAAATGTTATACACATGGCCACCATGTGGTTTTATGTCATGTATGGAAAAGGAGTCTGGAATTTTTGCACCCTATCTCTTTTGTTAATAATTGACTTAATTGTTCCTTCCTGAAAACATGAAAACAGCTTGACCTGTAAACAGACCTGGCCCAGTTAAAGTGACTGCAAACATCAAGATAACTAAAAATGGTAGAATTTGTACTGACTAGAAACTTATTTGCCTTTGATGGTCACTGATTAATTTTCCAGATTCCTTGCTATACGTACCATATGGGGCTGATATATCACGTACCCTACTAGTATGTGCAGTGATATCAGCATATTTTTATTCAAAATCATGAGCTCTGGGTGGGAAACATGTATCATTTCTTTTTGATATAAGTTTAACAACATCTATTAGAAAAATGCCTGATCAACCCTTTAAACTCATTCGCTAAATCACAACTTTTGCAATGCCATGCCTGCCATTAAAAAAGATTATCAGGATGTATAAAAAACAGTCATGAAATCTAGGGTTGTGGTAAATTAAACATGTCTCCTACTAGTATAATCTTGACTTTGCTAGTTAATTTTCTCAAAAAGATAAAAACACAGTATATAATGTATTTTTACTTTTTTTATGATGATATTCAAATTTTGCTAAGGGACCCTACTAGTATGTGCAGTGATATCACCATATTTTTATTCAAAATCATGGGCTTTGGGTGGGAAACGTATCATTTCTTTTTGAATGTATGAAAAAGATGCACTTAAAAGCTTCTGATGATCACTCTTTGTCTGCATGTACATTTTCCAGGTGAACAGGCCAAGGTGCACAGAACACAGAATAACTTTCATGCCATCGCTGGATTCCCAAGAATGCTGGCGAGGGCACTATGATTGCCATTAAAACTCCTACGGCCAATGTTGAAAACTCCTACATTTGTCGTAGAGGTCTTCATACCATCAATCTGCAGGTGATTTGCAATGCACATCAGCATATAAGTACATGTTTTTGTTTTATTATTTATTTCTTACAGTATAAAGTGTGTGTGTGTGTATATATATATATGTGTCATGTCTTGATACCGTTAAACTGTAAACACAACTAAATTTTTAGAAATAATATCTCTAATACATCTATCACAGGGGACACTTTGGTCTGATTTATTTCTCCAGCAGGTAACACAACAGCAGTAATATGTTTTCCAGAGATCAACTACAAATTGACTGATCACTACATTTATTTCTCTGGCTGAGAGATCTGGAGTCTCCTAAGACAGCAGGGACAATCCAGCTATCGGTTTGACCGACCAAACTCACTCCGAGCTCTGATCTCCAATATCTCTGTCTCTAATACAAAGTTCTTCTCCTTATATACTAATACACATAATTACAGTGATTCCTAAAACAAGTCAGAGATATTGAAGCCAATTAACAGAATTAAGACATATTACTAGAGACCTTTAACAAAATTAAGGTCAGACTGCTTTAAACTGTAACTTGGGGATGAAGCCGTAAATAAAGTTATTCAATCCTTTTAAAACTGAAAACATCCTTTAAAACTTGGTTACAGTTCTTTCCAATGAATAACATACATTAACAGATTCATATAATGTCATTATAAAAGAGATATCTGAACAATCTTTACCAAATGTTGATTTAATTTGATTTAAATGTGGAAGTTTCTAAAATGACATTTGGTCGTGATATCACCACTTTGACACATCATGCAGGGACATGAAAATTTAATTCTCATTCAGAGACAATTGTTTCATTTTCGAAAAACTTTTTTTTTTCATTTAAAAATTACAGAAAATTATGACTTAAATATGTATGCTAAATATTATAATATATTAAATATTAATTCATTTTAATTAGGGCTTATTAATTAATTAATTAATTTTTTTATTTGTTTTGTTTTGTTTTGTTTTTTAGATCTACTGATGTAGTCTGCAGGTGGCCAGGCAGTACCCACGACAGTTTTATTGACCCACATTTTGACAGTATGGACACAGAGGATATTTCCATGATTCCTCCTGGTGGGGGGGGGATTCTGGCTATTCTGCACCCATATCTGAGGACACCAAACAGAGCCAGACATAACATACAACAGGGCTCACATCTCAACTACAAACACCATGTGTGTGATTTTCTCTTTTTAGACACGATACAGTTACTACTTTATCTCTTTCTTGAGAAATGATACACAATCCATTGATTTGATTCATTTAGTAGGGTTATTTAGCTTTTACCCAGCAATAATAAAAAAAGAATCTTTCATTAATTTTTTAACTATTAAAAGAACAATATTTTTGTTCTAAAATATAGCATGACAGCTGTACTAGGTCAATTTTTTGGGAGCTTTTACATAATAGATTCAATTTAATTGAGTATTGTATTTTTTAGCTGAGGAGACAGTAAAACCCACACCAAGTCAGACATGTCCTTGCAAGAATGATGGCAAACGTAAGCCAGATCCAGAAACTGGTGGGCTGGTGTGTTTGTGCTTGAATAGTAAGTATCTGGGTTAGAAAAACAATGACAAACAATTGAAAATGTTGTTGTAATTGAGATGAAAATGTGATTTGTGTCAAAAATCACAAAGCACAGCAAACACAGGAAGACTTTAATAGGAAGAGGAAATAAAGTTGGTGCCAAGCTGATGATTTTACAAATCAAAAATACATTCATGGAGTTTGTGGAGATAAAGAAAACCAGGGTTTGCTGTTGTATACTGGCTGTTTATCTTGTGAAATCTACCCAAGTTTATGAATTGATATAATTAAAGAAAAATGCAGCATGACTTTCCTACATCTGAAATGGTGGAGTGATGTTTTTGTTTTTATTTTATTTAAAGTCAATATTTTTGTCACTCTGTATTTAAATAAATTTGATCAAATTTCAGACTATTATGGGAAATACTGTGAAAAGGAGCTTTCATCATTCACTGGAGCTGATGCAAGTTCATATAAGTTGATAGGAGATGACACAATCTTTTTCAAGATCCTTTTTGGGGTCAAATTTGAAAAACTGTAATTGCTTTTGAATTAAAATTTTATTTTGTTGATTATATCTCGTGAGTCGTAATCATATCATATCTCAAGTAATGAAGCAATTAAAAGTAACAGTTAATTCATCAAAGGGTTACTTGGATGTTTGTTTGCCCCACTTTACCTAGAGATGTAAATTTCTGAAATTTTCTCTACTTGTACTCAATGAATATGATTTGATTAATAAAATTAATACTTGCTATCCCCAAGTTGTATCATCACACTAAGAAATATTCATACAATGAATGAAAAGATATGAACTTTTTATTCTTTACTGAATATTTGAATATATTAAATGTATATTTTTCAGGGAGGGGGGAGATGTCCTGATACCGTCCCCATCTTAACCTATAATGATATCAAACAATTCCTCTGCATATTGAAATAGTTGTTGCTATGATTTCAGTATGAGCAAGGCCCTGCATTCCAGTGGTGGAGACGAGTTCAGACTGGGGCACCTGCAGGAACGGTAGCTTTCCATGGAGAAAATGTTGTGGCCATCAGCATGCCAGACTTTGTATATGACAGCTCTGTGGCACAGAATGGGGAAAATATAGTCACATGTTGTATAAGATGTGATCTGTAAAAAGATCTGAGGGTTGAGGGTGTTATTTGGATACTCAGTTGAGACAAAAGTCAGAAGATTAGGTACATGTACTTTGAAGTATTCCACATTTTTCATATATAGTTGAAAATAATGTGTATACATTCATCTTTTTATTTTTTTCAAATCATCTGTGAAAACATTTTGTATCTATGCTTCATTAACTGGACATTTTCTTTTTATTCATTGATTTAAAGTGCTCATTTTCTTTTTCTTAGGATGCAATGGAACCAGAGTACAACAAAATGGAGAATTTTGAAGACTGCAACAAACAGACCAATTTCTACAACTCAATGTATGACAGTATAACAGGATTAGAACCTGCTAAACCCCCTAAAAAAAAGGACATAACCAGCCCCACTCACTGCAATGGGGTAACAGACAACCAGTCATCAGAGATCACAGTCCATATACCACATAAAGAACTCTGTCCTTAAGTAACGGAAAACCATTATGACACTGATGCATATTTGTGAAACCAAAGATTTTTTGAGCATAAAATTCTTGATGATCATTCCACAGATGAGGCAAGGATCAGGAGAAAATCCAAAATAGCACTTTGCAGTTTGTTTTAATACATTATCATAGAAATACATCTGTGTTGGCTTCCTTGGTGTACTCAACATTCCATAAACTTTTGTCTTGGTTCAGAAAAAGGATAGAAGATAAATTTTTATTTTACAGTATACAAGACATGTTGATGCTTTTCCAAACTGGCTTTAAATTGTATGTCATGGTGTAATGTAACCTCAGTTAAACAAGAACAATAATAATGAGGATAATAATTATGTTAGCAGAAAGTACATGCCGTTTTAGGTTTTCATTTTTGTTATTAGGTCTTCGGTAATATCGGTAATATATCATATAACCTTTGCCCAACAAAACGGGTGCTGTTCAATGATAAGTTAAAGTGTAATGTTAGATTTTCTATTCATCGATCAAGAAAAAGTAATCAACAAGAGTTGTGGATTTCATAACAGCTTTACACTGCCTAAGTTTCTCCCTCTTCTGTATCTACAGTAGGAAAATGGTGTGATAGACGAATCTCAAGCTGGATTTTGCAAGGGGTATTCGACAACGGATAATATCTTTAGCCTTCAAGCAGTTATCCAAACATATTTGTCAAGACAGAAAGGTCGACCTCATGTTTTTACATAGATTTTTTTAAAGGTTATGATAGTTGTGTCCATGAACAACTCTGGAAAAGCTTGCGACGTAAAGGAATTCCAGACAACAGTAATCTACTATAAGTTTTTAAAACGATGTATAACCAACTCTAATCGTGTATAAAAACAAAATTGTCTTACTCCATTTTTCCCATGCGAAATTGGAACCAAACAAGGATGTGTGAGCTCTACGATCATCTTCTCTCTATTTGTGAATGATATGGTCGAATACATGAAACTTAAATGTGGTAATGGAATCTTTATTACTGCAGACTTTACAGAATTGCATGCCTTAATGATTGCGGATGACGTCTCAACTATCGCGGAAACTGTTATTAAGCTACAAAGACAAATTAATTCAGTGAGTGATTTTTGAAATTTTTGAAACTAAATCTAGACAAATCCAAGATAATGGTATTCAGGAGAGGCGGCGTATTAAAAATGTGAAAATGGACATGTAAAGGAAATAGAATTGAGGTCGTGTCCAGTTATAAATATTAGGATTCTTATTCACTCCTCGATTAGCTTGGTCTAGAACGCAGGAACACTTGTCATAAAGGCATCTAAAGCAATATTCCGCATCTAAAGCAATATTTTGGATATTTTGATTATCAAGAAGCCTTGAAACTGTTCGATGCAACTGTGAAACCGATTTTAATATATGCAGCAGAAATAAGGGGATTTCAAAAGTGCGCAAAAGATGAACAAATTTATGTCCGTTTTTGCAAAAGAGTGGCCTGCTTAAATCAAAATGTGACAAATGTTCTAGCATTAAGCGGTAGACTCCCTCTTTATGTGTCTTTATGACTAAATGTATTAAATACTGGGTCAAACTGTTAACCATGCCATCAGAGAGGTAGGGCCTACCCCAAGTAATGTTATATTATGTTACGCCCTTTAGACACTGAAGGAAGATCATCCTGGGCAACTTGCATTAAAAACGTATTATTTCATTATGGTTTTGGATACGCCTGGATAGCGAACGATAACGGCGATGCAGAGGCGTTCTTAAGTTTATTTAGAACTAGGACTCAGTCACTCTGTGTTCTTTGGTGGAAGCAAAACTTCGCCCGTGAGTAAACCCGTTTGTCTTCACACAGGAAGCAACTCTGCAATTTTGAACTTTTAGATAATCAGAGTAATTTTTTTTTTAAATATTGATAAAAATATTTATTTTACAACCAAAACCTGCTGCAGATTTTTAGCATTAAGAAGAAATTTTATCTATAAATAAATTTAAATGTTCATTTCAGATATTTGTTATACCCCCGTCACACTAGAGGCGGAATGGGCAAGAATGCCGTCGGTAAGACAATTCTTTGTGCGTTCCTGGATATTCGAAGAGAATTCTAAAAATTCCGAGTGCATTCCAAATATTTTTACCCATTCTTGTGACCGGCCCGAATGTTTTGCTCATGTTAAAAACTTTCGAAGTGCATTTCAAGTGGAAAATTATCGAATGCCATTTGAATAGTATTCTAACTGCACTATGACTGCATTCTAAATATTCTCACGCCATTCCGACAGCATTCGAAACATTCTGATCACATTCGAGGGAGAACCGAAATGGCAAGACACTTCAAATCCTGCTTGAATGAGCCGGAATGCAACTCGAATGCATCCTATTTCAGCCAGCAATCGAACTCCACTCGCACGGCATTCGAAGTGTATTCTTAATATTCTGACTGCATTCTGACAGCATTATTGATATTCCTAGTTTTTCAACTACATTCAAACTGCATCTGAGAGCTAATACAGCCGAAATGTGCACGAATCATTCCAGGCGGATTCAAGCGCATTCTGAGTAGTCCAACGGCATTCTTACAAGAATTTAGGTCAATTTGAAATTTCTTCTCGAATGTAGTTACGAATTTTAAAATTTAGTCATTCTGGCTAGTTCTGCTTGATTCCTGCTAATTCCAAATAAGTGTGAGGGGGCCTTAAGTCTCATAGTTCTATATAAAACTGCCCTGTTATGATGTTTTTGTTATGTAGGCCTATCTCTATATAAATGGGTGAGACATTAAGAAAATATCTTGAAATAATATCTTGCTTAGCTGCTAAAGGTCGTTAAGTTTGAAAATGTAATAAAACGGGACATTTTTTGATAAAGGAAGGTACAGATCAATGCATCGACAGATTACTTAAATAAAAAATAAACGCAAAATACACGTTGAGCTTGATTATTGATTTAAACAATGAAAATTGATACAATACTCTAGAATGTCTAAACTGATTTGCCAATTGAGGCTATGGAAGGGAAAGTGTTCATGTAAAATTATTTCAGTTATGTATGTAGAAATACACAATATACAGCAACAATGCAATTTTAAAAATAAAGATGTGTTTAATGTCAACTCTGCATTTGAGGTGTAGAAAATATATAACAGTTCTTTCAAAAAACAACAACTGTAAACTTTCAAACGCTTGAAATTGCTTTATTCGAAAACATTACCATTTCTAGTTTATTTTGGACAATACCAGAGGATGTAGTAAATTGGTTCGTGCCTCCCTTAACTTGTAATTTCTTTTATTTCTGTCTGTTCTACTTAGATCTATTCGAATAAATGGATACAGCCCATGACGTTGCATTTCATTACTGAATACTTTCATGTGCGTTAGGGGTGGGTTTGGGTAATTTTCCTGTCTCATGGGATTGGGGGGAGCACGGTTGCTCTGTATCATATAACAAAGGCTAAAGTTGAAATCGAGACTTCCGTACGGAAGGTGGTCAAGTATATATTATTATGTAATCTAGGTGAGTATTTTGGTGAAAGGTGTTCAGAAAGGACCGGGGTCAGTAAAAGATGGAGAAGAAAGCCTTGTGTCTCATTGCCACAATTTCCACGAAATGATCGGAAATCTGGGACTGAAATTGGCATCGATCTATTGTAAGTACTGTATAGATGATGGAAGATAACATTGGTTATTTGACGTTAATGATATTAACCAAAAATGGTGCAATTTGTAAATAAGGCATCATGTCGACATTTTTTCTTGAGTTGACGTCAACAATATATTCCCTTGAAAGTCCAAATTCAACTTGACGTTTAAATAGATTGTATACTGTTCTTATTTTCAGATGGAATGCATTTGCCAGTAAACAGGTGGTGAGAGGTTTGCTCCAACTGTAAACGCGTCGTCCGACTTAAACAATGTGAGGACTTTTTGGCAGGTAAATACATTGTAGGTCCGATTTGTTTTTAAAAGATTCAAAATCCACTACCCGCAAATTCCTACCCGCTAATGTGTACATGTCGTGATTATTTTGTTGTTCTCTCAAAGATAGTTTATTTTTAAATTTTTCACTTCTGTAAATTTATACGTAATCCGAGGGCTAGTATCTTATTCTAGCCTCCCTGACATGTAATTCTAAAGACACAGAATGTTGTCACGTTAGTGTATGCACGGTGTAAAAGAATAAAAATGATATTGTTTGAAAGTGCATGATTACATACGTGGACAAAATTACGTTATTATGTGCAAGTTACATAGAACGTGTCAGCTCAGGATATATATCAATTTGTATAATTTAGAAGTTGAAAAGCGATTTGTTGAATATTACTATCGAAATCAGTTGATATAAAATTAAAAACTGCTTTATTAAACCAACACATAGTCATTGTTTTGTAAAAGTGTTTTTTGTTTAATTTCAGTGACTCAACCGTGCACGAGAAGATTGAATACGTTCTCCACCAATGACGTCAGACTCGTGTTCTACGGCGGCTGAATCCACGTCAAGATTACATGTCGCATGTCAGAGTTTGTCTGCTAGTAGATTTGTTGGGTTATCATTTAATATGAAGTGTTACGATTGCTTTGGGTTGTAATGTTCTCCATCAGAACGTGTATCAAATGAAAAGTCATATGTAAGGAGTATTTTTCACGAAACGAAACGAATTAAGGCCGCGTTCACAATTAGTTGATCTGCAGACTAACTAGTTGATAACCCCACTTTAAAGCAAGCCTGTATTCAACTGTTGGCCCCTGCTGGGCCGGTGCACGTGGGAGGGTAATCCATTGTCAAGTACGCGCCATATTTGATCCACGGACTAGATAGACGGTGGTTCAACTGGTTGTGAACTCGGTCTTATGCTTTAGAAAGCGTCTGGAAGTTGTAGTGTGTGTTCAGTTGTAGAAAAAAGAACGAGATGTGCATCCACCAAAAGGTTAATAAATCGCTGTTATTTAAATAATTGTGCTTCAGAAATTGCAGCATTATCAAACTGGCAGAATGTGTCATTAGTATTGCAGAACTGTCCACACGTATTAAAACGATCCTTCTTAAGTTCCAATGTGCGATTGTGACGCATATAAAATACACTTCGTCTTTCATTGATGGGAGGAGTCAAAAGTCACCTTGGTTTTAGAAACGAAACCAAGGAGTTGAAATTTTCCCGAAATTAATATGCATTTGTAGTAGGGGTAGGTTATAAAGGAAAATTGTTGAATCATAAAAAAATGTTTTATTTCGGTATGTTATCTTACTTAAAGGATCTATGTAGGACTGACATTCATCAGAAACTTTTACATTCTGAATTTTCGACAAATTTTGACAAAGTCAAATCGATCATTTTAGCTGTCACAAAGCCGATTATTTAGAATAATGAGTACTCGATGAAGTTTTTAAGACTGTCGATTTCTGTCAATACTCCAAAAATAGAATGTGATACAATTTAAAGCGAAATTTATAGGAAAGTTTTCACAACTAAAAAAGCTTTTTTTTTTTTGTAAATTTACTTATATTTAGACTAGCGGATTTTTAGCCAATTCCTTGAAAGTCATCGAAGTTATCTTTTTTTAATTCTTAAAATATGAACAATTGTCATTTTTTCAATATATAAAAAGTTTATCCAAAAGTGTGTAGATCAGCGCTCTGTTTAAGGTTGGCCTTGTGCCTGGCAATTGCTTAGTTTACTGTTTGGTCGAGATCAAAGGATGATTGAAGAATAACTTCTTATCGGATGTCAGTCCTGCATGTCCTGTTGAGTTATAGTGCTGAGTGTCACTTGATCACTGAACACCGGAGACCAGTCTTAAGTTTATTAGCATTGTCCTAGTAAATGTCTTTTTTCCGTTTTTCCTTGCATATTATTGTTTAAAATGGCTGTGATTGAAATTAGTTTGTTAGTTGGCCATGTCATGATTATGACGTTTCTGATTTGCATGCAGTGCAAAATTCAGTTTTTGCTCAAAGTTGCGCAATGAAATACATATTTTAGGTTTTCATGTGAAGTAAAGTTTGTGTTGGACATGAACAATTAACAGTAAACAGCATTAAGATCCATATACTCTCTTCTATACTGACAGTCCAAGTTTTATTATATTTTGTGTTATTCTGCTGTTACTTTTTGTATTCATTTGTGCAATAATAAATGTGCTATATTGTTTTTTGAACAAAATAAAAGTTATTTTCCTTAACTACAGAACCACCGACTCCTTTTACGTAGTCGAAATTATTTATTCTAGTTTATTTTTGCAAAAGGTAATTTGCTGGGACCTAGAGGCACCAGGAATCGAACCTGCAACCTTCTGTCTGAGAGGCAAGCACGTTACCTACTCCTCTAACTGTTCCCACCCACCCTCCTCAGGTAGACTTTCTTCTTATAGTAACCAAAGGAAAATCCTGAAAAGTCTTTCTAGAAAATTACCCAGTGATATCCGAGAGCAGGAAAGTGAACCCCAACCCATTTAGTACGAATGAGCAAGAAAACGCTACAACGCATTGCATAATTTTGGTATTTATTTATTAAGACCAAAACATATGTAAATTGATGTAAGTACATGTGTATTTATCCATTTTATCAACTACATTTCTAAAAAATCTATGAAGTTCTGAATGTTTGAAAATAAAATATAATAATATCAGTTCATTGAAGGTATTGAAATGTGCATTAGGACTCGCTCAAAAGTGTAATAAATTCAGCCTATCTGATTTGACAAATAAAATCATCCACTAAACTACTTATGTCTGATCTCATTAATCTTAAAGAAAATTTTTCAGAAAAAAACTTTTTCCTTTAAAAAAACAACGCCGGATCCGGTATTTAGTACACCTTTAACATCGGAAAAATCGAGAAGGAAACTCTGGACTAACATTATCAAGTACACACAATGCTACAAATTTCACAATTTGACTACATTTAAATGATCCGGATCCGACGTTGTTTTTCTCTGTTTCAAACCATACGGTATAATAAGAATTATTTCAATAACTAAATACCTACAAGCATGAGCAATGTCTACAACTCTCGTGACAAATGTTTTGCTATTAACAGAACATAAATTGACCTCATATAGCACATGTAGAGAGTAAACATTTTTGCACCGGCTGATCCACGTGAAAAGAAAGAGACAATTTTCACAGTTGAGCAGATTTTTAAAATTACTATCAATAATTCTTTACACAGAATTTAGACTTGTTTAAGAAACGTCATCGTCCCTGAGGCCAGTTACATTTTTACAAAGGTCATGGTGTACATACTACGAATCTGGACAGCAGACAATTAGAACATTAACATTCTAATCTCTTATCTGAGCATTTAAAGTAAAGCTTACAGTAAAGGCACACAGTGAGCGCAGGTCCCATGTATGTAACTAACAGTTTATTTTTCTAGAAATTTCAACAATAAATAATTCAGGTAATACGGTATCCAGAACAGTTTACAGCAATTCCTTCCACTTAGCCAATAATTTTTCTTGAAATTTTAACAATATATCACCAAGGTGTACGGTATCTAGAACACTCATCGTACTTTTGTTATCGGTTTTGGACAAAAGTGTGCTTTGGTGATAAAGGGAAATTGTTGAATTTCTCAGATTATTTTCTAGATAAAGGTGTAATACGCACTATATGTCTTTGAATTAAAATTAAAACCCATGTTTTTGAAGAGAGTGATATTATTCTGTATGCTGAACTAAAAGCACTAAAGATCAAGAAATTAAGAATTGACACCAGCAAAAATTATTATTCACTGCAATTTCCCCTATTTGTCATTAATTTTATTGGATAAAAGAACACAAAAAATATAGCTCACAAGACATAAGCAAAAACAATATTATTCAATGTAATATTGCCAATATTTAATAAATTTAAATGGACAAATCAGAGAAGCATTTCATCAGCTTTGTTATGTTATAAGAATGAAGTAACTTGCTTCAATTAACAGCTTAATATTGAAATCAGAGAATGAGGCTATCCAGGTGAGTAATGATGAATGTTCAGACTGACATCAAAATATTGGAAGTAAAGGTAAACTATTTCAATATTAAGCTGTTGATTGAAGAAAAAATACCTTTTAAGAGTTAAAACTCTTTACTGGATAAAGGAGTATATTTTCTTAGAGATATTTGCAAACAAGTTTTATAACTACCTAATTTCCTACATATACTATATATCTCCTTCGCAAAAAGAATGAGAAAAATACACGCAAAATGTTTACTCGTACGGCTACAGGCCTACCCAACTACCAGACTCGGCACCGAATGATCCAGAATTCACCGGTAGATCAGACCACACTACCCGTTTTCAAGGTGTGTGTCAGATCGCATTACACAGTATCAGACACGACACCGCTCTTGCCTAGTACGCGATGTGATAGTGACGATTCTCAGCGGGGTTGAAAAGCATTGCATCACCACTCAAAATTTGATCAGGGTATGATTCTGTGTAATGCGATCTGACACACACCTTGAAAACGGGTAATGTGGTCTGATCTACCGGTGAATTCTGGATCATTCGGTGCCAAGTCTGGTAGTTGGGTAGGCCTGGGCTATAGCTACGCAGTTCAATTAACATGAAGTGCATATGAGGTATGAAGAGCTGGCAAAAATGTGGAGGAAGCAAAATGGGGAATATATCGGGGTCTTTCCAAACCCAGTTTTAAACATTCAGGCATCAAAAATGAATCACAAATAAGTTATCATCAAATACCTAACATTAATATCTTAAGCGCTGTACTAAATCGCGTGAAACTTATATTTTCGTATACTTAGTACATAGATCTGGACCGCCTTGCATTCACTCCCTGGTCACTCAGAACTGATGAAGACGTGACATCTATTTCTGGAGTGTTGGTTACATATGACTCGTGGGGGAGGAGGCAGGATATTTTGGACGCATTGTTTACTTAATTATCATCATTACCTGATAGGTGAACTCTCATTTGCAATTTGCTGTAATAAAAATGCATAGGACGCATTTGTGTTTGATATATTTCAAAAAACGCCATTGATAAAATTAATCCTATACCCTAACACCCCCAAATGAAACAATATTTACGTCACTGGTTATGATCAAATGCACGTTTTTATCTGAACAGAGTTTAGTATATGTGACCGACCTGAGCGAACTATGGCGCCATCTGCTGGAATCAGCAGACTAAACTTTATAAACTTTAAATCATGTGATCATATCTGAATGTACGATGTTGTAGTCTTCATTTACCTTCACAATGACAAAATAAACTTTCGAATATGTATGTGTGTGTGTGTGTGCGTGTGTAGAACCTGGTCATGATAACGAAGTACATTATCCCAGATTTTTAGAGTTTTGGCCAGTAGCAGGAAAGAAGGGTTGATTAGTTGGAGAAAAATACCACTTATCCCAGGAAATTCCGTGCAATATTTAACACGTCAGCACAAACGCCGTGAAGATATGCTATGCCTATATTTTGCCGAAGCGTTTTATTCAAATTGATTTTTTTCACTTTGCATCATACAACCAGTTATCATAA